ATATCAGCAATGAGGTGGGTGTGTCATGAGAGCAGCTTAGCTTAGTCGGCTAAACTGATGGTATCCACTGTGTGCGCTAAACCGTGGAGATCTCAGTCCCCGGTTCAAGTAAAGCTCGGTTTGCATACAATCGCTCAACCTATCAGCGACAGTCGCCGATAGTTGTCAAGAAGGTTGAACCTGGTTCATCTTCGTCGATTGCGTTGCAGACGAATCTGAGTAAGCCTGCATTGTTAGTTGCTACGACGCAGCCGGGAAGGCACCCCGATTCGTCTGCAAGGTACCCCGATTCGTCTGCAACGCAATCAGCAAAGTTGAGCCAAGATCAACCTTCCCGACAACTGTCGGCGACTGTCGCCGATAGGGTGAGCGATTGTATGGATACCGAGCTTTACAATAGATCACCGTCTTTCGGATGAGACGTTTAGCCAATTACACGTAGGCCTATGTTGTCTATTTAACTCAGCTTTATTCAAACCGAACACTACCTCGTATGCTATACGTGCCTATTGTATCAACCATTGTAGTGATAAACTCTTACTATTATTTCAGTATAACACACAACATCTCCCATCTGGTAAGTTTTCTTCTGTCTATTTAGGTAAAGTAGTCCTAATGCGATCAAACCCTTAATATTCGTATAAATTCACGATCCGTACCAGACGAAATGTCTGCTAAATTGGCCTAGATTAGCTTACCTCTATAAGTCAATGCCACCTACAAATTCAATCTATAGCTTTGTGATGATCTAACTGGGAACCTTTTACGTTTAATGTTCCAACTGAGGCGCACGTAGCCAGGAGTCGTACGAATATGAAATGATGCGTAGTGTACGCATGCGCACGGGCGGCTGTCGTGGTTTAGTGCTGCTTGGCGTGCAGCCGCCTCGACAGGCTCGGTGTACCACAACAGCGATTATAGTCGTTGGTTAAAATTATATTCATTACTCTTTATTCAATTAGTGAATCAATGCTGATTGCCAAGTGATGTAATTCTGCAACAGGGATGTTGTTAAAGTTTGACAGGAAGGGGATGATTTGGGTGGTAATCATGCGTACAAGCTTTCACTCTCCTTTTCTTTCTATCGCTCTGTTGGAGCGCAACCCGTTGTTACTGGTTTTCTAAAAATGAGGTCAAGAAGCTAATGTTACTTAAATCGCGAGTTGTTAATGATATCAGCTCTTTTGTATTCTGTTCGCGTGTCTTTACTGTATATTATGTTCATGCTACTTTATTTACCTTAATGGAAATCGAATATATGAAATAAAAATACAATATTTATTTCCATTAAAATTCAATATAAAATACACAACACACATCATTCAAAATAAGTGTAAAAAGATGGAGGAGATCCAACGAAAAGCAAAATGGCACCTTTAAAAAAACAAACAAACAAACAAAAACAAATGTAGAATAGAGAGAAGACATCTCACACCCACAGAGCACAGAAACAATGAAGCATGAAATCAATTTAAAAAAAATAAAATATGCAAATTAAAAAAATTGGTGAGATTAAAGCATTGAAAATAAAAATAATTATTTTGTTGATAACTTGTAAACACATGATAGTGTAAAACCTTGAATCTTGCCCTTTTTTGGGATTTTAGATAGGCTTCTTTTCGAGGCTACTTTTTCGAAGAAAAGAGGGGGCTTTTTTTTTCAAAATGAATGCTGTAAATTTCTGGAATTACTAGGCCTAGGACTCCCGTAGGACGACTACCGGTATAAAACAATATAATTATATGGCCACTGTAACATCAGTCTGTATAATGGAGTGTATTAACCGGCATAAAATCATTAGATCTACGGTCGACGGACCATGTTCGTGACCCAAGGTCGGGTCGTCGATCGCATCTGGATCTCAAAAAAAATTATACAGAAAATCTGAATTGTTAAAATTAAATACTGTAAAAATTATGAGATTCCCGTGAAAATATCGAAACAAAACATTTTTTTTTATAAAATGTTGGCTAATGTCTTCAATTTGCGCCGGCGGTGTACTATAATCTCAGTCAGACCGCCGTTTGTTGAATACCGTAGTGTTTGTGTTTCAAAAAACACAGAAATATTTGTTTTGGACTTGTGATACAGTTTTAGAAACTCCACAGTGCTGTGTCACTCATTCACATCCTCGGCTCCTTATTTGTATACTATTGAGGGGCATTTACACTTTTAAGTGCCTACTAGCTAAATTAGTGGGCATTATGTAATCAAAACATGACAAAGGTGCTAGCAACCAAATGGAAATCAACAAATCGTGAAAATAAAATTGAGAAGCTGCTTTAGGTAATTAATTTTTTAATAAGTATGCTTATCAAATATTATGTTGTTGTTACAAGACACATATGCCTACAGTACTTCGATATACAGTAGAGTCCCTATTAAGGGGACACCTTCAGCACATAGGGATATCCCTATTCAGGAAACACAATACAGTAACGACTCAAAAAAGGGTGCATGTTGTGATATAGATTAGAATCCTATTGAAAGTACACAAAGAAAAAAAAAGAAATTCCCATGGTTATGAGTAAACTTTGACAAGATTGGTTGGATGTAGGCCTATACCGATGTTCACATTAAGGGTTCAGGGAAAAACATTCTGGTTTGATGTGAAGTTTCTTTGCTCAAAAGGTGTCAAAATATAAAGTTTTGTTTTGTTTTTGTTTTGTTTTGTGTTTTTTTAGACTCATGCTGCTGTACAATGAAAACAAAAATTAAGTGTCCTCCGGGGGTTGAATATTTATTGATTTGACCATTTTACACACCCAGAGAGTGTTCCCGTCCCATTATTAAGGCCTGTTTATACTTGCAACGATAACGATAAAAAAACTAAAAAGCAATTGTTTATACAGAACCTCTCTGATTTCTTTTATTGTTTTTTAGCTTTTTATCGTTAGCATTACCGTTGCAAGTATAAACACGCCTTTAGGAGTGTCACTTAATTGGGGTTGGCCGTACAGTAGTGTTAAAAGATATAAAAATTCCTCTCATTTCACAGAAAAGTGTCCCCAGAAGTGGTGCCTCAAAGTAGGGTTCTACTATATTGGTTGTATGTTTTGTATCTTGGACATTTCTATGATAACTGGAGGTCTTAGGTCGTGGGAAGTTATGGCAACAAATGTTCGCTCCTAAGGAGTAAAAGGTTGAGACCGGAGCTCTGATGGCCGGAAATGACACTCACACAGTAAAATTCATCATCATCGCATCACCATTATAGACAAAATGAAGCGCGAACAAATAACATTGTCTTTGATATACTTTACTTTAACTACTTCAAAGCCTCGAGTCCAAGCCCATCTCAGCCCCACCATCCATGTTTGAGACTGAGGTGCGAAAATAAGGGTATAGTACCTTTAGATGGTCGGAAATGACACTCATATAGAAAAATTCATCATCATCACATCATCCTTATAGTAAAAATGAAGCGCCAACAAATTTATCATGATCTTTTATAAGCGATTTTCGCAATCAGATATCTAATTAATCTATGTGATGTACCATAGAAAATAAAACTTTATTTTGTTTGATGTATTTACTTTACTTTACTTACTTCATGTGCCGAAAACATTGTCACAGAAAAGTATGGGTCCAACCCCAACCCTTAATATGTTTGGTTGGACGTGTCCCCTCGTTCCCATGGTCTACGCCCATGCCCATGCTATCTTGAATAGAAGCCCATGGGCTTCTTTTTAAGATAGCAAAGACTTGTTCTCGAGATTCAACCCATTGGGTTTTACATTATGCTAAGTTAAATAAGCAAACATTTAAGAATCCTAAATTGCGCTAAAGTACCGGTATGTGCACATTATTGCTATGATTTACAAATCATGCTATAATTTATAAGGACCTGAAGATAATAGGCTACATTTTTTACCCTTTTGACTGGAATTTGTAAATCATCTTCTTTTCTTGTATTGTAGTTGTGATTTTCATTGTGAGCAGTAAAAAAAATCTTAAAGTGAAGCTGGAAATCATATTTATATTTGTACATAAAATAGCAACTTCATTGATATATATGTCGTAAATATTCAACACATTATATTTTTAAAATAATGGTTTAGTTGAAAACAGATATGAACTAACTTGTAACGTGATATTGCTTTAAAGGCACGCTTTCGTAAAAGAAACAATTTATTAATTTAACATTATCTGGCATTCCCTATAGAATAGCAATCTATAAT